GAGGCGCGCTGGCGCGCTGGATACGCTTAACCAGATCCGAGAAGTCTCCGAGATACGAGGTGGTTGTCGTCTCTGGGAGCTAATGGGATGCCGCCGACACCCTCCTCACGTCCGAGTCCCTTTGATCCTGGCCGACCTTGCCCTCGCCTCCGGCGTGACTCCCGCGCGTCCTCCTTATATCTCTTCCCGGTTTTCTCTCGGTCCGTTTTTTTTTCTCCTCGCGCATCCCACCCTGACCTTATCCACCGAGTCGGTCGAGAATTTTCATGGTGGTCGCGAGATTCCCCCGAGTCTACGCTCGTGTATACACGTTTCACATGAGCTCGCATTCTATGCGTAAACTCGTAAATTTTTTTCTCTTTTTTTTAGACATCTGTGTGTAATATAGAGGTTAGATACAGATGCGCGAATCTGTGAATGTTTGGTAATAATAATAATGAAAGAATTTTGTTCACAAAAACAAACATTAAATTGTACTACTTTCCAATATTCTCGAAGATAGATTTCGTACGAATAAAATTTTTTTATTCTACAAGATTTTGAATTATGTATAATTACTATTTTTGGATTAATATTATATGCGCACACATACACACATACACATGTACAGCGCAATCTGTATTTTCTCTGCATTCTATTATATTCACACATTTTTCTACTAAATCAGATAAAATAGAACTTTTGAGAATTCAATTACTTTTTAAATTAAAATTTAAGAAAAATTTAAAACCTGCTTAAAATTAAATGAAGAATAAGATTTTGTTATCTTTGAATTTTACGCTTCTGAAACTTATCCGCTTATAGATAATTAAAAAATATCTGAAACTAATTCGCAAGAAAAGCGACACGTGTTCGATGGTTTATAATCTAAAAATAATTGATGCGTTCGTATAATATTAAGGCTTATCATTTGCTGAATATCCTCTCCCGCTATTAATTTGTTGTATCCGCTATTAATAAATGACTCTATTAGTAATTTAGAAATAAAATACAGGCTCTATATTTGTTTTTCTACGATTCTTATTATTAACTTCGCTTCTTGAGATTTCTATTAGTTTATTCAAATTTATTCAAATCGGTTAAAATAGAACATTTCATATCAATTTAACAAAAATAGATCTTCAAGCAATATATACTCGCACACATAAAAGACATTTTCGCAAACGAACTTGATTATCAATAAAGCATAATTATCAATAGAGAAGTCAAACTAAGCTTGATTTAGACGATCTATAATTCACGAGAGAAAATTCAAGATAGATTTCTATCTATAACACAGGCCTGCGAATTTAGGATGTTAAAAGTTGTTTGAGATTTATAAGTGGTTTCCTTTGTAATTTTGTGCGCTGAACACGAATCTGGCCACAGAAATTGCCCATCACGTAGGGTTTTTGAGATAAATGATGTAAAATGGTCCAGAAATGACGATTTTGGCTATATTCATGAAAGATATTATAGAGAAAGCAAATTATTTCCAATATTTTAACCAATGGGTTCATATAGTACTATCCTTCTTCTTTAAAATCAATTAAAAGTTGTTTGAGATTTATAAGTGGTTTCTCCTACGTAATTTTGTGCGCTGAACACGAATCTGGCCGCAGAAATATATCTATCACGTCAGGTTTTTAAACATTAGACATTGTATCATGTAAAGAGAATTAAAAAATTCCAATTTTTATACATGAAACTATAAATGAAATTGCTGATGATGTTTTGATTTTTCCAACCCAGGGAATTAAATTTTTTACAATAAATTCGGATTGCAAAAAAGTAGCATATTATTTATCAAGACAGTCTTTCCATATGTTTCCAAAGTTTCATATTTTTTTTGAGTTCTTAAATTGTGTGTGTGGGAATATTCCCTCTTGTAAGTTTTCTTTAATACTTATTGTTATATAGTCGCGACGAAGGTGACCCTATTTTCTATGATAATGTCTTCCTACACCAGTTAGCGATAATTAACGAGTAATTACGCTTATCAACTGATAAATAAAATTATACTACACAGCTAGTTTTCGATGTGCAATGAAGGCAGAGGTGAGAAAATTCATGCGCAGTTGAGTGGCATGACAAATAAAGCGCTTTAAGATTATCACGCTGCACAGATGTTTAATAATAAGTGATATATGCATAATGAAAAGCTGTATTGTATCATTGATCGCTTTGTGTTAACGTTTAAAACTTTTTATTAATATTTATAAATTCCCTCAATTTTTTATTCCTATCATAGATAGCTTTTTAATCACGTAGATAGCTATTTTTGGTTAATTCAAAGACGATTCTAATCGCTGATGTATTTATAAATTACTTAATAAGCAACAGCAGCAATAAAAATTTGTATCAAATAATAGTATGGCTTTTTATATGCTAATGACAAATGATAATTATTGTAAATAAGAAACTAATTGTAGTTGATGCGCGAGATAATTATTTTCCAAAAAAACCTTGAAAATTTACTGTGTTTTTTTTATACATATCTTCTAGTTACTGCTATTTCGGAAATTTATCAGAATCCGACGAGAGACTTATCGGAAACATTTATTTATCAATATACGTATAAATATAGTTTTATGTTTTTAATCAATAATCATATGATGCGTGTGTGCATAAGTATCTACATATATACATATATGATGCGTTCAACATGGATGTGTCTATTTTTAGAGATGAAGGCATTCATGGGTGACGCCGAATGTAAAAGGCTATTTCATTTAACTGACTGACAATAAGTTATTCTGATTACACATTTTGCCACGATTAAATATCATTAATTATATAGTTTCTTCATCTTACTAATCCAGATATTGTGCATTGAGAAGAAAATAAAATTGTAAAAACCTATATGTATATAATAACTATAATATTTCTAAACATCTGATTAAGAAATTGTTATCAATATGCAATATAAGATTTAAACAAAGATGTTCTAAAGCCCGAAGGGCTTTGAAAGGCTGCTATCAATACGTGAAAAGATTTAGAGGAATCACAAAAAATCCTTTGGAATCCGAAAAATATTAATGCAATTTAACTTTTCGCATTTCTCAATGTGTGTATCTTATAACAAAACGATAATGTCCGAATTTTACGAAAATTTCACGGACGGGGTATCATCGGGAAAAAAGGGCCGACGTGTCCATCGAGCGAACGGGGGACCGAAACTCCGCGAAATTCCGTCCGTGAAGGCGACGCGGCGCGTCGCGTCAGAGCGCAGAATCCGGACGCTCCTCGTCGTCGGAACTCTGGGCGGAGTTCCGGCGGCGAGATGTAAACGCGCGCCGCCCAGACGTGTAACGCCCCTGATGTGTTCCCCGTACCCGCGTCTTTCGTTGGCGCATCTCCTTTTCGTTTGCGCGACGACGAGCCTCGGAAGAAGAGTCGCGCTCGACTAATTTCCAAGCGGCTTTCCAACGTCGCGGATCGTGACGTTTTATAGCTTTTTGTCCGATCTTTCGTATGCGCCGCAACGTTTTTACCCTACATTTCTCGGCGAATTATATGCTCGTATATGCGATTAAATGAATTAATTAATCGCGGATTCATATCGTTTCGATAGCCTTTTTTTTATAAACCTTCCATGCGTATCACGATAAATATAAAGTTCGAATATATTAAATTACTCTCTCTCTCTCCCTCTTTTTCTCCGAAATATATTAGATATTTATAGGAAATTTATGTGGAAAACACGTATTTATTGACGCTATTTATTTAAATGCAATAAATTTATCGTTTTAATTATATTTTTAAGTTTAATTACATTTTGGTAAAATGTACGCAACATTATGAAAAGCTACAAATATTTTCCAGAATAATTTCCGACACTTAGAACGGATTTCTCTACATAAATTTAGGACTTTAGAATATTAATAATCCATTTGATTTTTCGGTACAATAGAGTAGGAAACATTATTAAACTCTGAAACTTTTAATTTGCATTGAAACACTGGAGAAAAAAAAACGAAGAAGATGTTACATTAACTTTAAAATGTATAATATCTCAAAGTTATATGCACTCTTTTGAATGCCCAAGATTATTCTTTTAGGATTTATGTGGATATAATTTATGACTATGTATTTAATAATAGAGTCCGATTAACGCATCTCACATACGTTAAGAGATTATACGTTGCGCTAATTGAAAAACTAATCCGCTTTACAGGTTCGATAAATTTGCAGCAAAATTCCTCTAGTGCTTGACGATTATCTTTTTTCGATAACGCATTTGTATGTTCTGATTCTTTGAAAGGCGCGGCATCATCATACAATTCAAAGGCATAGCGAGAAAAAAGATTCTAATATCTATTTTAAACAAAAAGAAAAAAAAATACATTGATTTTTCATAATTTTTTTCTTAGCACGTCTTTTTATTCATTTCAATTATGATCTGTTATATGTTGTTACTCTTTCATGTCTTTTTTTTATCGTTGGTTATGTATAAGATATGTGTATTAATTTTTCAAAAATTCTTCTCCGTGTCTCGTATACGAAATCCATGATTAAATATCCTCACGTTATATCTTTGATACATTACGTAAGTTGACTCGCGAAATCGACAATCGAAATAACGCGTCGTCATTTTTGCCGCAACATAATAGAGATCGATGTATAGATTATTTTCGTTTGTCGGCTCCGTCGACACAGATGTTATTAATCGCTATTTCGCGGCTAATATGTAACTAACAAGCGATTGTTCTTTTACGATTAACGATAAGATCGATCGTGCATTCGGTCATGTTTTAATTTCACCATTATACGCATAATATGACGAAAAGTGAATTTATTTTTATACTTTCGCCGCGAACGCGCGTGTCTCGAGATAATGTTAATGTAATTATGCGATATGAGATCCTTTGAAGAATCGAAATTCCGCTTCTATTTTTCGCATGCATTTTGTACAAAGTAATACAATCCGAACGCGTACAAATAAAACTTTTGGGAAGCAACATATTTAATTTTTCTCTCTCTCTATCTCTCTCTCTAAAACACAATTGTTTGTGTTTCAGAAGGCAGAAGTTCGCTCTGCGTCGGCTGCGGCGGTCGAATCCACGATCAGTGGATCCTGAGGGTAGCACCTAATCTGGAATGGCACGCGGCATGTTTGAAATGTGCCGAGTGTCAACAGTTTCTGGATGAAAAGTGCACCTGTTTCGTGCGAGACGGCAAGACCTACTGCAAGGGCGATTATGTTAGGTGAGTCACGTCGACGTTCTTTCTTTGAAAGAGCTTCGCGCGGAGAAGTTCGGACAAGGAAACAGACCTGCGATCGCTTTTTAAAGATGTTGTTCAACTGCGTTTGTGTTGCGCGAGAGAAAGGAATAGGATATCTCTGACGAAAAGTCGTTTGATGTTTCGACATGTTCATTAAAAAAGCAGCGAGAAAATGCCTTTTTTGTAGAATATATAGACTTTTTTTTAGACTTCGATCGCCGCGTGATTGGTTTCTCGCCTCACGAGGCCGAAACCGCGATGACGTAGAACGTCAAGTATCGTCCAAGGGTTAAGTGTCGCTCCTTAACGAACGAATTCCTCGAAGAGGTACGAGCAAGAGGCACTCGAAAGAAAGAGAAAGAAGACTCGGCACGATCGCGGTGCAATATGGTAATTAATGCAAAACCGTGCCTCTTGTCAGCGCGGCCGCTACATTCCCCGGCGACACGCGATACGCTCTTTCCGATACGCATTTGCGAACGCACGGGATCGGGAGGCGAGTGAAAAGAAAAGGGAGAGGAAAAAAAAGGGCCGGGTGGCAGATTGGGCGGCGATGCGAGGTCGGGAAAGAAGTATTTTTATCCGAGATGTGTACGCGAGACGTATAGGAGAGAGAGAAAAGGAGAGAGAGCGAGATGTGCGCGATATACACACACACACACACACACACACACACACATACAGCCGCTACCGTACGAAACCGTCACTGTCACATTGCGTTGCGTGCGCTGGCGCGTGCAAAAAGAAAAAGGAAAGACGCGCGCACGCAACTTGCGCAAGCGAAAAACTCGGTTTAAGCTCGCGAGAGTAACGCGACGAAGCCGCAAGCGATTCGTGACAAGCATTGATCGACGTCTCTCCGATTCGGCCGACATTATTTATTGACGTTCCGCGATCAAAACGGTTGAGCCATTCGCGATAATTGCGTCGACGTTAAAAAACTCAAAACTCTGTTTTTAAAATCGCGAGGATATTGCGGATAAAATTGAAAGAATATAAATAATTTCGATATCATGGCTGGTAATCACGGAATTGTGTATAACGTTGAGAGAGAATTAGAAAGAATTTTGCCGCGACTATAAATAAATAACGAAATTTTCTGTTATTTTTGTATATGTTAAGTGTCATTTACTATCTTTTTTTTTTTTTTTATTTAGAAAGGATAATGCTTACGTTTGCATAGCGAAATTCTCTAGACTTTTTTCCTAAAGATCAAATTGTTTCAAAATGACAATAATCTATTCAATTATTGACTTTCTGTTCTCTTCGATTGTGACGACAAAAATATTTTAATGTAACGAGCTTACGGTCGAATAAATTATTGAAACCGATTCTACAACTCTTACATTATCGATGCTATCAATCTTTTATTCTATATATTTGTGAAGTGAAAAATCATAAGGTCCATTATTAAAATAATTTTGAGTTGTGATGAGGAGAGAAAAACGTAAATTTGATTAAAGTATAAATATTATATATTATTTAATTAATATAAAAGCATAGACTGTTGATTATAACTTCAATCATTGATTAAATCTTCTAGCGGAATATATGAAATAAATTACGTTTAAAAATGATTGAAATTGATCAATTTTTAATAAAGTAAACCTTGATTAAATCGACGACTAATTCGAAAACATTATTAAACGTATACAGGCAGTTGAAAAAATATATTATAAGCAACATTCTCTCTCTCTCTCTCTCTCTCTCTCTCACACACACACACACATACATTCTCTGAATTGTAATCACAATTCTGGAAATTATTTATTAAAAACGCTTATAATATTTAAAAAAGAAGCTCTCTAAATCTAGATAATTAATCTGAAATAAATATATTGTTTCTTTTACTAATAAGTAAAGTTTTTACAATATTTTCTGACAAATCAATTCAGAGATAGAGAAGTTGAATATATATTGTCTATGCCATATATTCTTTCGAAAATCTACGTATATCTAATATCTTTAATTAAATATAGCTTACACGTTCGTATACGTATAGAGTACCGTGTGGTATTGTTAAGTTCATTAAAGCTAATGTATCCATTCGGCTATTATGTCACTTTTGTATAACGATGGAAGCATAAAAAATGAAAAGACGCAATATCTCTCTCGCGCGTGGGGAGATCTTTCTTTTTCGTTTACAACGGTTAATGCCGCCGAATAACCCATCGGCACGAATCCGAGAGACCTGGACCAAATATTTTTCTCCGCCGAGGCAGTCGGTTTATTTGCGCCGATCCGTCGAACGTCGGGGACGTCGCCGTACTCGAAGAAGACTGGCGTATCCGGCCGCAGATTCGAGCGACAGCGATGACGGCCGTTTGTTATTTCGCTGTCGTGCTTTCGTTTAAAAGTCCAAATTACCAAAGTAACTTCCTCCTCGCATGCTTCCTGCTGGGTGTTCCCAGCCATCTCCGACACGCGCGCAAAAGTGTGTCGGAGATTTTTACAAATATATAGCAATTGCATACACGCGTAGTCAAATATTAAGATCGCTTGTACGATACGTGTTTCTAAATTATGGTGTTACAGAGAAATCAGAGTTTAATATCTGATTAATAATTTTGCCCTCTTTCCTCTCTCTCGCGAATGCTTCCATTTCCGACAATGCCAATGTAATAGACGATCCGGATACGAAAACGTAAAATTGAGCGAATGGAAGCGAGTCTTTAGAGTATAATCACAAATTTATAAAAAAAAGCATAAGCATCCGCGAGTGCGACGATTTAAATTAAATGTCCTTGTAAAAAACTTATATTATTTAATAAGAGTTCCCGAAGGCTTTCGTCTCTCGCGAATGTTGGCATCGAATCATTGCAGTTCAATAAAAAAAAAAAAAAAACCACAAGAAGGAAAATAAGAATTTTGGGTAGTTCTTTTTTCTGAGATACAATAAATACGATAAATTGTTCCATCGCGTCACAATTTTAAGAAATCTGCGAAAAATGATTATTTTAATATATTTTATCATATTACGTCTTCTTATGTACTATTTTTTGTTGAACCGTGTTATCAAAAATTACATTATCGAACATTGAATTTGAATCTTTCTCTTTTTATGAAAGAATCTGGCTTGATACGACGTTCACATTAGAAACGCCCAGTATCGATTAATTATATATACAATATAACGATCTATTGCGCGTGAGTTTTAAAATTAATTATTATATCTTCCGTTCTCGGCGACAAAAGTTTCGCTTCGATTACGTTACACTCGTAGATACGAACGAGTTCTGGAATAGATGCCGGTAGTACGCGTATGGAGAAAGTTTTGATTATCGTCTTTGAAAAATAAGCGCGGCGCGACAACGATAACAATAGAAATGTCTATTACATCAACGCGCGGATCGTCGTCAATTACGCGCGCTGGCGGACCATTAATCCCCACGCGTTACATCACCGCCATCAATTTCGCTCGCATTACGCCGCGAATAGTAGCGGCGTACTTTTCCAATTCCAACGATGTATGTATATCGGACATTTCATTATATCTCGCGTCACACATACAAACACGCGTTTTCGCACACATACTGTATATATAAGTTTATTTATTCAATTTATCTATTTAAAAAAAAACATAAAAAAGCCAATTCTCGCGCGCATACACAATGTTACTGTATGTAGAAATAAATATACGACGCGACAATAAAAGTCACTTCGCTCCCGATTTATGTCTCCCTATTTTGCATCTATCGGATTTAAAATAGGGTTTTTTTGTTTTGTCAACCGAAAATATTTACAGCCTCGCGATACGGTGAAATAGAAAATGAATAGAGAGAGCATGAAAATACAACTAAAATCACGCAAATAATGGAAGAATTAATGTCGAAGTTTACGCGATATATTGATATCGCTGAATATTTTCAATCGTTGTGTATCAAGTTAGATTTTTCAATAATATTTCTCGCGAGAGATTCAGAAATAATTCACGATCTTTTTACATTCGTTTTTTGTAAATTCATGTCGCGACAGCAAGCTAAACTCCCTACTCTACTTTTTCTTGCAGGTTATTCGGCACGAAATGCGACAAGTGTAGCCAGTGTTTTAGCAAAAATGATTACGTGATGAGAGCGAAAACCAAGATCTATCACGTGGAGTGCTTTCGGTGCTGCGCCTGCATGAGGCGGCTCGAGACCGGCGACGAGTTCGCTCTGAGACAGGACGGCCTCTTCTGCCGACACGATCACGACGTCCTCGAAGGCGGGAAACACTGCACGGGAGCTGCGGGTATACCCGGAAGCGAGAACAATAACAACGCCTCTCTAACGAACAACAATCATCATCTGCACCCGAACGACGGTTCGATGTCAGGTGAGGATACGATATTCTCTCAAAAGAGATAGATTCTTTTTTTTCTATACCATCCTATTCTCGACAATACCTTCTCATAAAAGTATCACGTAGTTGAAAAAAAATATATCTAAATTCGTAAATTTTTTCGAAGAGCTCGAGGATTTGAATTACACAGGCGCCCTAAATTTAGAATTTACGATATTTCAAGAGAAAGTCTGCTTTTATATCCCGTTTCTGATATATTGCATTATTTCTATTCACTCCTCCTCCGATTGTTCTCTTTCTTATTTTTGTTGAACTATCTTATCTTTAATTGAACATTGTCCCACACACACACACACGCACACAATTAAGATTTCATAATTATATTCAGCGTCCGACGTGCATCGCGTGATGAACACGTGGGATATATCTGTAGATTATCAGAGAGGCATAGCGCTATATCCGTGTACAAAGACCAAATTTGCAAAAGGGTGCACGCTCGAGGGTATAAGCTCAAAGGACTCTCCTAACAATGATGTTGTGTTAGGATCACGAGAAGTATAATTAGGTGTTGATAATTGAAGCCCTTAAGACCGGTAAGGGCTTGACCATTACCCTCGCGCTATGCGTATCGGGATTACGCGGGCTTAATGTCCTGTAGATCTGGCGTGTAATATGCGTACATCCAACCGACCGGTTGAATTGCCGTCGCGTGAATTAACTCGACCGAACACAGAGAGTCGAAATTCAGACACTAAATCTAAACAGCGCGTAAAATAACGCAAGATCGGCGGCAAGATTTTTTGGTTCGGTGAATAAAATCGGTAAATGATTAAAATTGACTCTATCGATATCCCAGAATTGGAATAAACATCAACAAGTATGAATTATGCCTTACAATGTAAAGCATAATGGCGTGTTAAGGTGTAAAAATCTCAATCTTGGATAATGACAATTTCTAAAAAGAGAGCTATGAGATGATTTAGGAACATCTTGACACGTGAGTAAAGATAAAGTAAAGTAATATATATAATTAGATAATGTAAGATTAATATAAGATTAAAGTAAAGATAATTCTTTCAATCTCTATATAAACTCTTTTAATTAATTAATGTTCTAATGCTTGAGGAACTGAAATAAATATTTTAATTTTAATTTTATATACAAAAGAAAGTGGAAATCGTATAAATATATAAGTATTTAAAAACACAAATTTGCTTGATATGAGAATAAACTGCTCATGGCAATAAATTCTCTTATTATATCAAGGATGATCTGAATTTGAATATTTCAGTATAAAACAGAGCTGAAATAACGATATTTTTTTCAAAATATATAATATAAAATTATGCGAAATGAAAATACTATTATGTGAATAAATATAAACACAATTCTCGCATATTCTTTTATATGCTTTCATATACTTTCCATTAAAATTTTTGATACTTTTCATAAAATTTTACTCAATTTTGTAATAAAAGCATCTGAGAACAATAGTCTTCAGCGTTTTGAAATTTTCAGCTTTGTTAAATTATAAAATGTTTGATAAATTATAAAATCATCGAGATCCTCCACACATTTCTGAATTATCTTACGATTCGGAATCAAATTGGTCAACAGATTTTTTTTCATTTTTTTTTTTACTAAATGTAAGAATCGTATAGGAAAAAAAATACAAGCAAGCTTTTTAACATGACGTAATAATAATCAAGAGACGCGCGGAAAGAGAAATCATAGCATGTACATGATGATCGGCTACCGTTCTCTCTCATGCCCTTCCCCTTCCTCCTCTTCATCTCTCCCCCTTTCAAAATGCAAACGACAAACGTGTCGGTATATAATTATTCGATATACTAATTCTTTCTACAAATAACTCGTGTGCGGGCAGCAGCGGGACCAGCGCGCGTCCTCTCGTATTTGTCATTGTGATTCGTCACGAGATTGTCGCGCGCGCGCGCGCAAACATCATTCCCTATACGCACGAAAAAGATTGGACCATCTCGTGCCGACGGCGACGGTAGTGTGGACCGACGATGTGTCTTTATAACGCTGCCAAGGTGCCAAATGTAACACCACCCTGCCAACTACTGTCGCGCATAACTACGCACGATCTGTTCCCTCTTATTCTTATCTTCTTTATTAGCGCGCTGGATATCCCGCGGGACGACACAATCGTATGTATGTGTGTGTCATCGAATTATTAATAACTCGGTAGATACTGTGTGTGTGTATGTATAACCTCGAATTATTAATAAACCCTAATAAACTATTAGCTTCTAGCCGGCGAAAATTAGCAATCCTCCTTGATATCGTGATATTTTTATTTTATAGCGTCGGAATAGAAAAGAGGATCTATAATTTATTTATAGCGTTTGGGGATTTTTTGTTTATTAAAATTATTGGTAATATAAATTTTATTATGCTTTTTCACGAATATCTTTTTTTAAGTTATATTCCGCGATTTCATACATGAAACGGTCTTTCTTTTTAATTTAAGAGATCATTAAAATACGGATTATATATATATAAAAATATATATAAAAAAAAAACGAGTTTGACACGATTGTTGCCGAGTATCGCATTAAAGTATTTTTTAACGCCAGTCGATCTTTGCATTTTCGAAAATAAGAAAAAATCCGCATTTTGAGTTAATTCATAGCTTCTTAGCTTCCCCCAAAATCGCTCTCGTGATTAACTTGTGTTTTGCTAACAATAAACAAGATATTTCTTCACGCACAGCTCTCACGTTTCTCGCATTTTATCCAGAAAGAAAAAAAATCCACGCGATATGATATAGTTATATGATCTATGCCTTTATGCGATCGTTATTTTGAAGATCGAGAGAGTCTTATTTTACTCGCTCTTCTTATCGTCGTGCCGCCGTGTCAACGCGGGTTTCGTTCCTGCTTGTGCTATACACAACCGGGACCGCTATTTGGTTAGGACGCAGAAATACTGGGATTTCGTTTGTTCTCTCCTGTAGTGTGCTCTCTTGGCTTTCCGCGTCTTCCTGCTAGCAAACCTACTAGATTTCCCGAGCCACGTGATGTCTGAAGTACCCCGGTGTCATCTGACAATAAGATGCACCGATAGACGACCCGGTTAAAAAATATTATGAGATGAGCCGACCATTTTGCTAAATCATGCGAAATAATTTTATTTCCATCTTAAATTTCGTCTTGTCTTGTATCGTTAGATTTATTGATACATGCAACGACAAAGTTTAAACTATTCACAAAGATATTTAAAGAAGAATCCGTAGAGAGAAATGTGATGATAATTTCGGGATTATATAGTAATAAAAAATTTATACAAAAAGAATAACATGTTTTTCTAGTTTCAGAATATTACATAATGTATAATTAAATATAAAAATATATTTTACTCTTCGTGTACTTTTTACATTTTGCAGCAATCGCAAAATTGTTCGCATTGAGACATTTATATATGTTTGCATCTTCTTAGACAGATCTTTATATATACTCGGAGGAAAGTGCGAGCCAGACGGACAAATTAAACAACGCGATATTTTTCGGCAAAAGAAATACGAAGCCCGCTTCCACCTTTTACAAATAAAACGTTACGTCGACTGCGAATCAATCGCCGCGACGTTTCGCGACGCTTAAAACGTTCCCGCGATCCCGAGGTCGCTCGACAATCGAGGAATCGAGGAATCACGACGGATCCGCGTTTGCTCATCGAAAATATTGTCTTTTTGACTGTTGCGTCGAGTGCCGGCCCGATCGTCGCGTCGTGTCGGTACCTTTTGCGCGTTCCTCATCCGCCATGCTGGACCAGTATCCGGATCTCCCATTAGCCGCATGCTCTCGGCCGTTTTGCAAGACCGGTTAGGAAGATGGTCCCGCGAATGGGCTGGAATCGTACCGCGTGTATTCCCTTCTTTCGTACCCTCGTGCCCGAGATATTTCTACTTCGCGGATTTCTTTTTTCTCTGCGAATAAATCTCGGCGGGATGGGAAGGATCGAGCTTTTTGCGATCGGCCGGAAAAAGCGTTAACGAAGAATCCGGAAAAGCATGCCGAAAGATTTATGATTGCTCGATATTCCTCTCGTAGATGCGGGAATATTTCTGAGAAAGTTCTGACGGCCATTTCCAAGTTTATGATTTCGCAGTCAGAGTAATTCGCACGCGCTCACGTCAGTTTATCACTATCATAAAAGTGACAACATCTCCTCATCGAGACTGCCCGTTAGATTAACTAATTAGTTTTGCAAAAATATATCTGCTTCTTTTAATCCACCTATTCTTTCGCGTGATATTAATCTATTTACGCAAACAAACACCACACAGTGATTCAAGTCGCTCGATATTTTAAATACAGTTTGTTAATTACAATTTGTTTTTTTTTTTTTTTTTTAATATATTTTAGAATTGTATTTCAGTTGTTTAAAGTATATTTTGATATGTGGAAGATTTCAACATCGTTTTTAATTTAGCAATACGTCGTGAAAGATGGAATCTCAAAAAACGCGGGAAATTATAGTAGGACATTCATATATGTAAATGGATAAAATTGGGTGCAATATTATGAAGAGAATCGAAAGTGTTTTCGACGAGAAGTATATGACGGATGCAAAAGAATCAGACTTTATATGCAAAAAAATTTTGTTCGGATGGTTTCATTTATTCATGCGATGTATTTTCACATAATTTTGAAAGATATATTTTTGCGAAAAATATGATATTATTTCAACATTACGTATAATATTCGACTTTCCTCGAAATGAATATCTAGAACTCTTACAGAATAATTATTTTTATATTAGCATGTCAAGAAATGTTTCTAAATTATCTTATGCTATTTATATATTCGCACACATTTTCAACAGCATCTTTCAAAATATTTTTCTTAAAATATCCTCTCTTCGGAGTATTAACGTGACAATTTATATTTTACTTGAAATAACAAATATTTATTTCGCTCAAATTTCAAATAAAAGTAGACTAAACTCTCGACATTTGCAGATTCCGGATCGGAGAGCGGATCGCATAAGGCGGTCGGCGGCGTCCGCGGTTCGGGTGGCCACAAAAGCGGCGGCGGATCCGACGGCAAACCGACGCGGGTGCGCACTGTTCTCAACGAGAAGCAGCTGCACACCCTCAGGACTTGCTACGCCGCGAATCCGCGCCCGGACGCCCTTATGAAGGAGCAGCTCGTCGAGATGACCGGACTGAGTCCGCGCGTCATCAGGGTATGGTTCCAGAACAAGAGATGCAAGGATAAGAAGAAGACGATCGCTCTGAAGCAGCAGATGCAAGAGAAGGTAAAGATTTATATGATATCGAAAGCGACGAAAAATGCTTGTGTCAAAAGAGACACTATGCATTTCTCCGCTTATTTACAAATTACAAGATAGGATAAGCGAATATACATAGCGGAACGAAATGATCTAATGGATCCAAGCACTTTTTATTTCAGGACGGGCGTAAGTTGGGTTTCGGCGGCATGCATGGCATTCCCATGGTCGCCAGCAGCCCCGTGAGACACGAAAGCCCCATCGGCATGACGCCGCTCGAGGTCCAGGCTTATCAGCCGCCGTGGAAGGCGCTCTCGGAGTTTGCCCTTCATACGGACTTGGAGCGACTGGATCCCAACGCGCCGTCTTTCCATCATCTGGTATCCCAGGTAAAACGCGCCGAAATACGTAAAAATATCGGAACGCCTATTATGTCATAAAACAATTGTAGTCTCTTGGGCGATGAAAAGAAAAAAAATTACTAAAAAGAAATACGAGAGAACGCGAGAGAATCTCACATTGAGAGAGATTAATTAGAAAAATATATTTACCCGTTTCTAATTTATTTGAAAAAAACAAAAAACAAAAAAAAAACGGAGAAACGTAATATCGTTAAATATGATAATTACAGATGCACGGCTACGACTTGCACGGGGGCCCGCCGCCGCAATTGCCGCCCCCGGGGATGCTCGGCGGCCCGATGAGCGACGGCGGGGGCGGACCGTTACCGCCGCCGGGGCCTCATCATCCGGGCGGCGGTGGACCGGATATGGGCCAGCATCCCGACAGCACCGACAGCTTCGTTACGTACGTGGAGAGTGACAGTGACTCGTTTCACCATGATACGGGAAGTCCATAGTGTCGTGCGCGTCACGGATGCAAAGCAACAACATCAATAACAACCCCGCCGTCCTTCGCCTTCGTAGCGACTCTCGTCGTGATGCTCGTCGTAACAGCGAGATGCTTGCAACGGCGGCAGATCTGATAGAATCGGAAACTGCTCTCGACACGCATATTTACGGCGACGAATTTCAGATACCAAAGGACTCTCCTTCGTGTCTCTTGTCGATTTTCCTCGACGATAATCAAACGGACTCGGGACGGGACCGGGACACGTATACGGAGAGAGAGATGGTTCGCGGAAACGACATGATTCGGATACATATTCGGGAATGAGCGGTGGGAGGGAGGAGGGGGGGGGGGGGATAAATATCGTTATCTGACGTTACGTTATTCCGCCGCGCGAATTGACACATTTACGCACACAATTAATATTTTCTCCTCAATTCTCAAATCTCATTAAACACTTAAAAGTTTAAACGTAAAAAACTTTGAACATCCTATGAGTTATTCAGCTTGATTGTAAATCATCGACGATTGTCATCGAAGATTAACCGTTACGTTATTTCGATTTTCGTCATTTTTTTACTACATATAACGCGTTACTCTTACCGTTAATATACATTATATAAATAGCAGGATAAAAATCGCCGCGATATTCCTGAAATTACAGCATTTTGCCGAATACTTTTAAACGATTCTAAGCACATGTCGTTAACTGCGTGTACATAAGAAAAGAGATGTGAGATCCCGATATCCGATACTGGAATAATACACTGTACATAGTTGCTAATTGCTGTAAATCTAAGCAATGTTAAACCATGATGTACTCAGGCGCAAGTTGTAGCGTAGAATATGAATAGTGGAATATATATATATATATATAGGCACATATGTTATATGTAAATTTATATTAACGCGCATTATTCCAGTTATGTTAAGTTTCACAACGGCAGAGATATGCTTGCGAACGTATTGCCATACGATGCGATTTATTTATCCATCCTGAATGAGAGAGTTGCCGCGTTATCGTCGTCGATATATTCTGTATTATCTTTCAAGTTTGTATGTCTAGACGAGAAGCGATTCTGTATTTATATGATACGTCTCGTTTAAAAGATGGATGATTACGCTTAATTACGAAAGAAGCACAAGGGAGCGGTGCTCCTTCAATTATATTGAGCATAAAGAAAGCTAAATTTTGACGAATCTTGCAATTGAAGTCGCCTTGTAAGAAGCAAGCTAATTAAATGATAAAAAATTGATAGGAATTAATTATAATGTAAAATTATGAATTTCTTCAATCTTTGAATCAAGATTCTTTAGCTTTATAATTGTTAATTTTCCTACTATTCCAAATTTCTTTTTATCTCACATTCGATAATTGTTATAAAGTTAGCAATTCTCTAAATATATGGAGGAGAAGAAATATAATTAAATTTTAATAGAGAAATAAAAGTAAATATTTTAAAATATCAATGGCTGATTTTAAGGACTAGTGCAACCGAATTTATGACAAAACGCGCAAAGTGAATTACTTATTGTATTCAATTTTAATGTTACCTTTATTCGATATTTATCCTAAAGTAAATATATTAAATTTTATATTATCATAATTGATTATTTGCCTCAACTATTTCGCTTACTGGATATTTTCGGTGTTCTGCTAAAAAATTTTGCTTATAAAAGATCGATGACTAATTCAACTTTTATCGTGAAATGGTCAAAATTATTTAAAATACAATTGCGAGTTGAAATCACGAATAGTAACACTATAAAAAATATTTAGGAAAATATAATTTATATATATCTTTTTATTTTCGACATATACACGATATTCCTAAATGTGAATTCGACTTGATAATTTAAATTCTAGGACGTAATTTAATTTTCTCGAATTTATTAATGGATGGAATTTTAAAAGATTTAAAAATTTTATTGGTATATTTCAGTAAAATATTGCGTCGAAAAGATACTTTAGACTCTTTGTGTACTTTTTTAAACTTATTAAATTTTTCAGAAATACGATATTATTAGTGATCACTTTCCAGGATTAAGCGTCTTAAAAATAAAGAAGGAGGATTTAAATGTTGGCTAATGTATATCGCGATTATTTTTGCAATTTTTTTTGCATTGCATTTCAAGATCGTTATATAACGTTTTCAGAAATATGCATTTCGAGTTTTGTCTCGTACTTTCAGTAAGAAAACGTGCACAATTTAACGAGTGACGGCGAGTAACCCACTGGATTGTACATAATACTTTTCGGCTATTCGTTTAATAAAAAAAAAGAAACAGCGGTAAATAAAAATCGCCGCAGACGTATGCATGACGCGTGACTAGCCTTTTTGGGTGTTTGTGTAGAACCTACACACCGCTCTCTTGTACGTACACGTGATTAAAAAAAAAAAAAAAAAAAACATACGTAGATCTAACGTTTCGTAATTCGTTCAAGCATCTTCGGATTTGTATAATATTTCTATACTGGCACAATGTATGTAATAAACTGTCGAACAAAAACATTTTAACGAGCAAATAATCATTTTAATGAGGTTTCCTTGTCTCGGCGTAAATATGCGCTTTAGATGACATTTAAAAACTTTCGGAGACACTTTCCACTTATCCCATCAATAATAAAAAAGTTGGAAATAATTTGTAATAATAATTTATCTTGTAAAATTCTATAATAATGTAATTATTCTTTGATATTAGTGTATTTGAATTTTAAATAATATATATAATACTAATGCTTATAGTATCCGAAATTCAACGGGTTTATAGTGTGATAAATTTATTATGACTAAGTTATTTCTTACATGATGATTTAAAAATGATTAACTTATTATTTTATATTGACGTATAATTAATAATTGTTTTAATGAATAGTACAAAAAATAATATAATATATTATTGTTAAATTTTAATGTTTATTTAACGATATTGAAATATGTGTAGATGCTTGAATATTATCAGTGAAAAATTCTGGACCACAGATACAACTATAGCTATTGCAGTCTTTTTTACAACACTTGCGCCGGGGCTTGTTCATATTTTATATCGCAGTACCTAGCAATATCTCGTCGGTAACAAAGCGTAGCGCAAAAACAAGATCGCCATAAACGGTAAAGTAAAGCGCGGTCTTATCGACACCGAGCTTTATCGACAGTGAGAGATGTGAAAAGTACTCACCGTTGATGGCGCTATTGCATCGGTGTCCGGTGAATCTCGGGATCCCTGCAATCGGCTACCTCCTCCTCCCCCCTCGAGAAATTTTGCAACGATGATCCATGTATCCCGGAATCCTGAGCCGATGCATCCAATATGCAATCGGCTATCACTAACACTTATTTCACCCTTTTTGCGCACTATACACTTCACTATGCACTGCGTTATTCTTTCAACACTCGCGACGATGACGAATTATGCGCGAAATCCACTTTTTCGGAGTAGGAGAAATACGGAGAAATTCGAATCGCAGACCTGCCGCGACCGATCATAACCGATTACGATGTCGATGCGCGATTAACTGTGACATTTAACGTAACGATTAACGCGCGACATTTCGCTTGACACTCCCGGTGATATTTCGCGCGTGAAACTCAACTTCTAACCGATATCGCGAAAAAGACGCGGAGCGAATTTTCGAATCCGACCTGCCGCGTCGCGAACCGTTAACTCTATGTATCGAATCGCTTGCGATTCTCGAAGCGACCGATGACGTCACGCAGCGGGTCAATCACAGCGCTCGGCTCGTTGCAGCGAGTCCGTAAGTGGATAGTACGATACCTGCATGCGATTCTCGAAATATCGATGCCACGAGCCAATCACAGTGATTGGCTCCCTTTTTGAAGATCACATAATACAAACTCTGTAAAATAGTACATACAACGATACACGAACAAGAGAAAAAGAGAGAGAGAAATACAGAGTCAGAATATTCGATATATTGAAATAATCATGTAAAAAGACAACTGAGATTATCGTATTTTGACCGTTGTTCAATTTTAAAAGAATTAAATATTCCGCAGAATATATATGTTCTCAAGTCCTCAGTATCCCTTTTTCCCCCCTTCCCCCTCTAGAAAATTTTTTCGCGATATACATTTAAAATGTAAACGATCACGCGATTGAAGATCCGGGTTCCGTTATTGATATATATATATATATATTACCAAATATATATGCGATTGTAATTTTATAACAATATATATTGTATATATAAAATTTTCGAAAGGGTAGATATAGGTACGTAACTTGAATTAGACGAGGACGATGTGTGTTTCCTGGGATAAAATTACAAGAGGATAATTGATTCCGGACTTACACAGAGGTGGATCACCGACACTTAGCATTTCGACATTTGAGAGAAACACTCCCGATAAACTTTTGCGCGCGCGAAATTCACTCTTAGACGATAATAATCGTGGAAAAAAGATCGGGAATATTTCGAATACGTGCGATCCGTGCCGTATCTGATTGCGACTTGAAGTCAATCGAAGATACGAAATTGCGATTCTCGAAATATCGAAACTAGCGATCCCGATCGAAGCGCCTCTCAACGTTCTGACGAGGAATTAAATCTCGTTTAGTACCGCTATCTATATTCGTTTTAAGAGAGGTTAGGTTCCTCTGTTTGAAACTTTATCGAGATTTCGCAGAGAGAAATCTGCCTATAATACTTTATTAATAATTAATAATCACGAAAATATGGATAACGATAAAAGCACTATGCTAGCTGTTTTACAGCTCTTGAAGAAGTACAATTTAAAAGTAAGTTACGTGCGAAATATATTCTTTACCTCTCTCTCACAAGTATTCTAGCCTGCATTAATAAATGTTATTGTATGAGAAATATAATAAATAAATTTGTGTATAATTAAACTGATGAAAGAAAGCTATTATCTATTAATCTATGCTTTAAGCTGTTAATCTATGCTTTTTTTTAGGGAACTGAAGAATTGTTTAGAAAAGAAGCTAATCTCACAGATATCTCAGCTGAAGAAGCTCAGCAAACTGATTCCGAAGTGACTAGTGTTCTTTCTGCTTACAAGAGCGAGGGAGACCCTGCACAGTATGAGAAAGCATACAGCGAATTGAAAAAATTTGTAGAAGGAGCTTTGGATATTTATAAGGTACACTGAAACTATAAAAATTGGCATACCCATGAATATGAAGTATTTCATATAACTAAGTATGTGATAATATTATAAATTTATAATATTATAATATCTCTAATTTATGTATTTTTTATATAATGATAGCACGAACTGGGGACCATTCTATATCCAGTTTTAGTACATATGTATCTAGAATTAGTTTACAATAATCATTCTGGAGAGGCAAAACAGCTCATGGAAAAATTCAGTGGAAATTTAGAAGAATATTATCAAGATGACTTGAAAAGATTATCCAATGTAACAAAACGAGAGCAAATGGCAGGGAATGAATTAACTGATACTTTTAAGTAAGTGTGTCTGTAAAAAAAAAGTCTGATAAAACCAAAGTTATAATTTATACATATCATCTGACATATCGCTTATTTGCAGATCCAATCAGTTTATAATTAGAATGTCAAGGGATACACTTTCTATATTAAAACGACATTTGCAAGAAAAGAAACATAGTGTTTTATTAAATATTATACAGGAACATCTTTACTTTGATATGTATGAGGGTGTTGCTCGCAATAAAGAACAGATAGATGCAACATCTGGAGCTATGGTGGGCGAAGCTACTAGACAAGGTAATAAAATCATTTCATATTTCTAAGAGAAAAATTGTTTTTTATCTATGTGCTTTATAGCAAAAGATATCTATTAATCAAATTGTTACTTTACAGATAACAAGGCCAAAGTCTATTATGGACTTTTAAAGGAACCAGATATTCAGTGTGTAGCGCCAGCTGAAGAAGAAGAGGACGATACAGGTGGTGGAGATGGAGATAAACCAAAAAAGAAGAAAGCTAAGAAAGATCCTTTGTTTTCAAAAAAAACCAAATCGGATCCAAATGCACCACCTGTCGGCAGAATGCCATTACCTAATCTGTAAGATAAACTGAATTTTTTAAGGACTGTTGTATCTATAACTTGTCATATACAAATCATATCTTTAGGAAGGATGCAGATAAACTTGAAAAAGTTAAGGCGTTAAGGGAAGCCTCAAAAAGAGTTATTCTAGGACCAGATATGCTACCATCTATATGTTTTTATACATTGCTGAACACGGTTCATACGTAAGTAGATGTAATCAAATTTTGTTTTAAATTTTTTATTTGCATTTATATTATATTATAATATTTAGTGTAACGGCGGCAGAAGTAGCAGAAGACTCAAGTTTATTAGCTATTGGATTCAGTGATTCTGGTATAAAAGTTTGGAGCTTAGTTCCACAAAAATTGAGGTTGATGAAGACTGGCGAACAATTATCAGAAGTCAAGCAAGAATCAGGTAGAACATAAAATCGAAATAAAATTTTTCCATTTATATTATTCCAAAATGCATATTATAAGAAACATTACAGAGGATGTGCTGGTTAGAATGATGGATGATAGAACATCTGAAATTACAAAAAATCTTTATGGTCATAGTGGACCAATTTATAGCCTTTCATTTAGTCCAGATAGAAATCTTTTGCTTTCATCATCAGAAGATACTACAAGTGAGTTTCACATCTTACACTGTATACTTAATTAACTTTTGTTTTACATATATATAGATATATGTTTAAGATAATTCACAAGAAAATAAAAAAATATCAAAAGTTGTAATTTTAACACACATATAAAGATTATTCTTAATATAACGCGTAGATATACACACGCGAATGTTTTGGAAAAGTTGTGTTAATAATTCTTGGAATATTAATTTTGATTCTTTCCCTTTCCCTCTATATAAAGAATTTCTGTAATAATTTATAATGATTGTTTTAGTAAGACTATGGTCACTCCATACATGGACATGTGTCGTGTGTTACAAAGGTCACTTATTTCCTGTGTGGTGTGTAAGATTCTCACCGCACGGTTATTACTTTGCAAGTGCCTCAAACGATAAAACTGCCAGACTATGGGCAACCGATTCTCATCAACCATTACGAATATTTGCTGGTCATTACTCAGATGTTGATGTGAGTTAACATTTATCGATATTGATTAAGTTATTTATTTAGTTGTTGATCGAAATGATCGATATCTTATTATTTATATTTTTAATAGGTAATCCAGTTTCATCCAAATTCGAATTACGTCGCAACTGGTTCGAGCGACATGACTGTAAGATTATGGGACTGTGTGACCGGCAGTCAAGTTCGATTAATGACCGGGCACAAAGGACCGATTTTTTCTCTAGCTTTTTCAACGGAAGGACGATTTTTGGCTTCAGCCGGTGCCGATCATCGCGTACTCGTATGGGACCTAGCGCATGGTCATCTGGTCGCAGCCTTGTCGGGACATACGAATAATATTCATTGCTTGTCGTTTAGTCGAGACGGCAATATTCTCGTCTCAGGTATTTGCTCTATTCATTAATATTTCCAGATTAAACGAAACAGATGTCAATAGTAGATTGTTATTTTGCCAGGATCCTTAGACTATGCACTGAAATTATGGGATTTCACAAAGTTAGCAGAAGAGATGAGTCTAGAAGATGTGAATGTTTCGCACAATCCAGATGTGAAAACTAATGCAGAATCCTATTTGTTGCGTACTTTTGCTACAAAAAATACATCTGTTCTGACAATACATTTTTCACGTAGAAATTTACTGCTGGGTATCGGTATGTTCGATTCTACGTAATTTATTACGTCTCAGATTCATTGTTTTATATGTATAGAGGATTCGAATTACATATTAAGTATATCATAAATTATATTAAGTGTAATATAAATGATCATGAAGCATTAATAAATCTTTCCCATTTATTTATTTTTGTGTGTGTATATATATTACTAACACTTTTATAACAAAAAAAATATTTAGTCCATTTTTATAAACGCGATAAATTAATAAGAAGTTACATTTTACTAAAATATTAGCAGAGAAATTTATTTATTCACACACACATTTTTATTTATATAATCCTCTCTCATTTCATACAATCGTCATTGCACATTATTATGAGATCGGAAAATGTGTAAATAAAAATTGAAATAAAAAGCAACATCGAGGTTGAGCGAAATGATGCATTGCGATCGATAATTGGCAAGATTTTGTAATTCGAGCGTACGGGTGAACGGCGGTAGTATGGTAGTAAACGTGTCGATCATAGATATATAAAACACGATCTGTGTGGTGATGTATGTACGCACATACACACACACACACACACACACACAAAATATATATAGAGAGAACTCAACCAAACGGTAAAAAGCTGTTGACAGTAAATAGGCAAGTAGGTGGCGAATAAATAAAAATGTCCGCGCGTAAATGAAAGTAAGTAAGTAGTTCTCCGGCATTCCAATTGTCACTTTCGGGCGTTGCCTCGCGTGAAACCGTTGCGTTTCACTTTCTAACACGATGGACGATAATAGTGCAAGGTTAGGTGAGTTGAAAGCATGTTACATACGTTTGCATTCTCTAGAGTGCTGATTTTTTCTATCTTCGAGATATATACTTTCTTGACCGTATTTTATTTTACATAGCTACGGACAACGGACACGAGGTAGTTAAGGCCTTGTACGACTTCAAGGCCACATTCGCCAAGACTCTCAGCTTCCGGGTTGGTGAGCATTTCCTCTTGCTGCAGCGTAATGTCAAACAGAAGAATTGGTGGCAGGTTGTAAATAGAGGAGGACGACTGGGCTATATACCATCTAATTATGTTACCACTGTGAAAGTATGACTGTTTATGCATATATAACACACACACATATATATATATATATATATGTATGTGTATATATATATGTATGTGTATACATATATCTTCTATATTGTTATCAATCATTACACACACAAAATATATATAGAGAGAACTCAACCAAACGGTAAAAAGCTGTTGACAGCAAATAGGCAAGTAGGTGGCGAATAAATAAAAATGTCCGCGCGTAAATGAAAGTAAGTAAGTAGTTCTCCGGCATTCCAATTGTCACTTTCGGGCGTTGCCTCGCGTGAAACCGTTGCGTTTCACTTTCTAACACGATGGACGATAATAGTGCAAGGTTAGGTGAGTTGAAAGCATGTTACATACGTTTGCATTCTCTAGAGTGCTGATTTTTTCTATCTTCGAGATATATACTTTCTTGACCGTATTTTATTTTACATAGCTACGGACAACGGACACGAGGTAGTTAAGGCCTTGTACGACTTCAAGGCCACATTCGCCAAGACTCTCAGCTTCCGGGTTGGTGAGCATTTCCTCTTGCTGCAGCGTAATGTCAAACAGAAGAATTGGTGGCAGGTTGTAAATAGAGGAGGACGACTGGGCTATATACCATCTAATTATGTTACCACTGTGAAAGTATGACTGTTTATGCATATATAACACACACACATATATATATATATATATATGTATGTGTATATATATATGTATGTGTATACATATATCTTCTATATTGTTATCAATCATTAGGTCCAACCTCAGTTTTTGATTGATTTTTTGGAAGACTGTATAATAACTTTGGAAACAGAAAATAATAAACAAGGTGACTCGCTCCATACCGATAAGCAAGATCTTTACACACAGCTGGTGGAAAAGAAAAAACAAATTGAACTAGGTAGAAAATTTAAGAGACAGGCGCCTAAACCGCCAGATTTTGAATGTAGCATTATACCTGGAGAAACAGATGGGGTGATTGTTTGTGATAATATAGAAGCGGATGTTAGATCAGTACCGAGCAATACTTCTTATGCAACGGCACGGACCACTCTTCATGGCAATGCAAATGCAGATGCCGTTCAGACAATTACTCAATCTCAACGACCAACGACGGAAAGTGAACGCGTACAATCGTTTCCTCGTCAATCATCTTCAGATACTGTGCAAAAAGTGCAGACACAGGTTACAGATGTTCGTAAAAGCTCCTCCCAGGGTAGCATGCAAAATATATGTAGTAGCTCGCCGACTAAATGCAACTTGCCAGCTAAAAATGGCTCGCCTGTTAAGAGCAATTCATCATTACAAGCCATCAATTCGCGAAGCGCTTACCAACTGCTCGATCAAGTACGAAAAAATACTCAACTTAGTCATGAAATGTCAAAGGTAGCAGTCACAGTCGTGGTCTCTGGCCTACAACAGTTGCTGCCAGAAACTGTGAGTCATTATCTCGATGCTTTGTTGCATCAGCTACAAACACCATTGACTGTGTCAAAAATGAGTATAGAAGAAACTTATGATGCTAATAGGTTGAGAATAATTTTTACCGAACTGACTTCATGCAAGGAAGATTCACAGCAAAGGAGTTGGATGCTTTACGAAGATGAATCTATCATCGTGGAATATATCAAAGAACTAACCGAAATATTGGTATGTTTTATGAGCAGTAGAATATTTGAATTAAGATGTTAATATCATATACTTAATACTTGGATCTCGAAATTACATATTCCTAATTCTTTTTAATCCCCTTCAATTAAATTTTTTTTTTTAGTTTGAATCAATATATGCATTTTTAAAGACATTGCAGTCTTTACCATTCCATATTTCTACTTTCGGGTATGGGACATTATATATATATATAATATAATTGTTAGCATTAAATATATGATATAAATATAGACATTTGCTTATTATATTATTATATAATTAATATTCATACATGTATTTTCTTTATTGAATAGACCAATGCTGATGCAAATGTATCGAGATATGTTTTGAGGCAAGATCGATACAATGGAGCAACAATATTGATACAGTATTATCAAATGGAAACAAGATGGACTATTAGACAATTGTTGTTGCAATCATTTGGTGTTATGTGCAGTTTGGATTCAGTGGTTCTAACTATAATGTTAAATAGTATTTTACCAATGGAATTAGCAAGGTACTGCGATATAAATTTAGAATATTTAATAATAAACTGTAACATTTAAATAATGAATAAAATTCTCAATTATATGTGCTTTTGTAGAGATATGAGAAGTAATCCCAGAAATGTAGTAAGATTAAATTATTCCTCTTTACTACTTACAATGATCTTTTCAATGGGTGAACCCATGCCAGTTACACATTTGGGTGAGTAAAAAATTAATAATATCATTGAAAATAAAAATTAAAATATATGTTTTCTCTTATGAATTTTATTACAGAACAACTCGGTCCAGATTTTATATCATTCCTCCTGGACTTGATAGAAACACCACCTGATACAGATTTAGAGGATCAGATTCCAGACTTGTTCATAAATTTAATATTATCCTACAATCTGCAATTTACAACTTCTGAGAATATGGTTCTAAATGCTTTACGTGAACGGACTGTGGCCAAGACTTTCACTGAAAAAATTTTATTCCTTTTTAACAGAGAAGGTGAATTTTAGTAATGCAAATAATGTCGCAAAACTGACATGACTGACTCGCCCGAACTGACAAACTGATTTTTAACTTATCGCAGAGGATCCGGTACGAATATTTGATCATGAGCCTCAACCGCCGCATTCTGTATTGAAACTTTTTATCGACTTATTTAGTAATGATGCCATAGCAAGTCTCTTTTACACCAATGATGTAAAAGTTCTCATTGACATTATTCTACGGCAACTTTTCGATATGTTCCCGGGTGATAAGGTATTGCATTATGTTGTGTGATAAAAATGTTTACATTGAACTTGTGAAAAATATTTTAGATATATATCTAATATTTGTATTTATCTTTAATGTAATAACAGCGTAGACAATATTTAGAGCTTTGCCGTCGAGTTCTACGTACCTCGAGCTATAACGAGCATCGTCATCGATCTGAAGATTTGTTAAAATGTTTCACAAGGTAAGACACATAGTTATATGCCGTGTATTACAACTTATCGCAAATATTTTTGTATCAAATTTTATTTTATTACATTTTGTATTCTGTCCTAGAATATTCTGTGAGGAAACAACAGAGAGCCAAGAAGATCAGAAAGTAGTACGCGAAATTAGCAACGAATTTCCACATTTATTTAAGATGTGACATTTAATTTCATCCTCTGATCAAGATTTAGAGGAAGATGACTTGCAAACTCTCGTCTAAGTATAGATCTGTGAATTTATTAAAAAGAAATCAAACTCACGCAATGAGTTTTTGTTAGTCCTGGCTTATTTTATTTTAATCTTACAATTAGTAAAGGAAATAGCGAAATGCGCACAATTCACGAAATATCGACGATATGTTTTATGACTGCCATAAATGTCTTCATTCGGTTGTGGTGCTACAAGATGTCGTTTGTTGTAATATATTTAGATGAAATTATAAGTATTTAGAGTGAAGAGATAACTATTTCGCGCAAAATTATTATATATAACGCATTATTTATATATAACACATGAAATAACGAAGAAGTCCTTTTCACTCTTATTACGAGGACCATTGATATTTAAAAGCATTCCAATATTTGCATAACTAAATTATATCTTTAGTAGTTGTATAATTAATCTCCATATTAATTTATATATAGAGATTATGTATTGAGAGATAAAGTTTAATATAAACATACAGCTGATATACATATATCTCTGTATGTATTGTTAAAAGATGGATAAAAATCAATTATATAAAATTATATATAGCAGTATTTCTTCGTAAAATATATATAATCTAGTCCACATATATGTGTCAGAATAATATTCTAAGTCATAGAAATTAAATTCTAGTTTATATATAGCTTATTTTTCAGTAAGACAAGTACTTTCACATCTGAATACAATGCCGTTATTTAAAAATTGTTTTAATTATATAAAATAAAGTTTAGATAGGAAAACTTTCTCGTGAATTTACTTATAAGACTTACTAGGTGCCACTGTGCTATCGGTAAACTTGCTAGTCTATAATTAGTGACTATATTTTTTGAAGCATGTTATTCTATGTTATGTTTGCAACTGTCAACATGTCAATTATAAAGGAATCTCAAATTTATTGTGATTAATTGAATGTTAAATAAATAAAAAGTTTAGCTGATAATCCTCAGGCAAGGTATTGACATTTCCTCTTTTTCTCATCATTAGTAATTCATGATTTAACCTAATTATTCAATAGAAAACTTATATTAGTAATAGTAAAATTTATATTAGTAATAGTAAAATTTATAATAGTTATAATGACAGATATAACTATTCGAGATATTTGTATGATCGGAATATTGTTAAGAAGCACTCAGAAATAAAGTATTTCTCCATGTCTAAAAACTAGGAAAATAAAAGAAATATATATAAACAAAATATATAGACAAATATATATATAAACAAACTGGACAAAAATAGATGTTAGATTACATAATTTGCGTTACATTTAGTTTTACAAATGGACTAAAAAATGTCGTTAAAAAATAATATGATAAAAGTAGGTATATGTTTTCTATATTGAACAGCCTCAGAGTCGAACTAACATGAAAAAAGAGATTTACTTAAGTGTAGAAATTTCAGGTTCAGATTTAAGTCGAGAAACATTAAAAATTTCTCGTCTCGTATAACGAAACACACGCGCATAAGAGGAAAATTATTCGTATTGTCAAACAACAGAAAATATAAGATTTTTATCTTGTTTTATTAATAACAATAAATATATTGATTTTTTTAACAAAAAAAAAACTCTAAGGGTTTAGTATATGAAAGTAAAATTTGTTTACCATAATAAATATGACGTGTGTATAAAAGCAGGGAATATTCATTCGATGTAATGTTCATGGCAGGAATTTTCTTTCGATGACTAATCACAAAATGGAAGGATATTTGTACGAATAAATTTTTTTCCTGCGCATTGATTCGTCATCATCATAAACATGTGAATGATCAGTTCAATGTAATGATTGCATGCACATATGTCTTTGGATCCAAAAGCAGTTCACCATTCATTCGAGGTAACTATTCGCCGGTCATCATCTCCATAAACTCTGAAACGAAAAAGAATATAATGTAAGTTTAAAGCAAGCAATTTATGTTTAGCCTTGCCTTAAACTAATTTGATAATAATTTTAATGGGATTTTTCTCTGCTGACAGTTTAATTGATAATTAATTTCTTTAGAGATTTTTAAGATCACGGATTATTTTAAAATTTTAAAGTATGTTTTAAATGTTTTTGTTTTTATTTCTTTCTATATTGTTTTTTTTTAATTTTCATTCTTTTGATAGAATTACTTAATTTAATTCTTTAATAATAATTAAGATATGTCTTATATAATAAAGTTTTTTCTGTTGCGTTGAGTAATTCTTTTATATGTATGTATTAATATTTTGTACATCATTAAACTGTTTCATTGCACGAATTAAAAAGATCATTAATTTAATCGCTCATAAGAAATACGGACTGGTAATGTACGAAAATTAAGACTCTACCCAGATAGCACAAGGAGAGCAAAAGACATTTTAAAAATGTCTAAAGGATGATAAGACGTCTTTAAGTCATTTTTAGATATCTTTTAGAGATATGTGCTCTCTGGATATCTTTTCAGAAAATAAATTTCAATCGTTTCTAATATGCCTATTTCTTGCAGGACTGTTACCTTACGTTTCTATATTTATGAGCATCACATGTGAAATTCATCAAGAATTGGAACGGATGTGTGATTTTGATAAATCGCCGCGATTTGTTAAGTACGAATATAAAAATAGGTAGTCGCGGGATCAGTGACATTACATATCCTCGATCTGCCAGTTCTTTCGCATATGAATAAACCACTCGGCTTTCCTTCGTTCAAGTTTGCACGAAAATAGATGCCGGTTCTCAAAGAAATAAAACAGGGAATCTTTTAATTCAACAGTAATAAACACGACATTCCTCTCATTAAAGTTGGAAAATATCACGAAACGAAATGCTTTTGTAAGAAAATTAAATTATTTCTCTTCAAAGCTATGCAATCAAAAAGATGTGTTCTACATTTTGTTATTTTCTCAAAAGGGATTGCTTACCGCGGAAAAAAGAAAAAAGAGAAACAATAGAAGAAAACGTACCGTCGAAATCAACTGTACCGGAGCCATCAGAGTCAATCTCTTCGATCATCATGTCCAATTCTTCATTCGTCAATTGATCATCCAATTCTCTCAGGATCTCACGTAAGCACGTCGTTGGGATGTAGCCATTACCTAAGTGAGTAAAAAATTGCAGATTTAAATAATATTCGAGTAATTTAAATTCCATGATTAAATACCAAAATTGCTAAGAAGTCGTTAATAATCGTTACACGTTGTTTCATTATTTGCCGTATGTCCGTAAGTATCGTCTTCGGTGTATAATTCTCATTCTTTGCCCTTCTATCTCTCACTTGATGCGAACAATAGATTTGTATGTAATTGCAAAATTTATCCGTTCCGTAAAGCGGATAATTTGTTTTCCCAGTATGAGCTAAACACGTTAAAATACATACGCCCTGTGCTTTCGACATAATCGTAATTCATGAAAGATGTGTTACGACATTCTTGGCTTTCGGCCGCCACATGAGGTGAGTCCGTTGGGAATCTCCGCGTAGCCGGCTTATTTTTACGTTCACATATGATGCGAGCTTAATGCGCTTGTTTGTATCCCGACGTTTCCTTGTCACACGTTTGTCACATATGTCTTTCCTCACTGTGAGATTGATTTTGTTGATTTTACGAAACAAGATATCCGCTACACTTAGGAAGACATCGTGTAATTTTATAGATTAGCTATAGAAAATATATAGTATACAGACACACTTTTCGATTTAAAATATGTCTAACAATAAAAGAAAACGCGAAAATAATAATCTCGAGAGATCGTCAGCGCTTTATCGCAATGCTGACAGTTGGATTTAATATTCTCACAATATGTGATCGGAGATATATTAAAAATAGACAAATCTTGATGTTTATATATTAAAAAAATTAGAAAAGATATTCCAAATCAGTGTTATAATGAATTAATTATAATATCACGCGATATGACATGCTATGATAAAATGTGTCAACGTGGATCGTGCGGATCATATTGCTTTAGCGTTTCTAACGGTTTATCGTTGCTTTCGAAATCATTGAATTTAATATAGTCATTACCAAAACGATCAGCGAATTGCCAGCGATGTCATCACCTCACGTTAACGATGCGTAAATAATGCGAAATCTCGTTTCTCTATTAAAACTGTTTACGCGAGCAATTTGTTATACCTTCCTTGTCGTAGAGTCTGAAAGCCTCTCGAAGTTCCTTTTCCAGAGCTTCTGCGTCTTCCTCAACAATAAATTTCGCCGCCAACGTGACGAATTCCTCAAACTCAAGCCGTCCAGATTCTGTAAGTAAAGACTAGTGTAAGAGAGAGATTGTGCGCGCGAAATTCTATAAATAAGATTCTGTGAGACGGATTATACAATAAATTAAATTACGCGACATTCGACAACAATCTGCATCAAGATCGCATTATGGATTTGTAAACACGTCGAAAATAGAGGAGTAAACAGGTCATTATTAACTCTGTCATTAATATTCTTTAAATAAACTTCATCGTATGTTTTATCTCTGCTCTCTAACTCTGCTTGCGTTAAATATTAAACGATGTGATATTTACTATCGGCATCAACTTCATCGATGAGTTCGTCCAAAATTTTCTTGTTGAACGGTTGGCCCATTAGCCGAAGAATATCGGCTACCATGTCAGTGGGGATGCTGCCGCTCTTGTCCCTGTCGAAGCTGTCGAAAGCTTTGCGCAGAACTGCAAAACGTAAATTGCTTTTATATCTGCCAAAATAATTGTTGAGGAAATAGACAAATAAATTTTAAAAACTATTAACACATTCGAATTTTTATAGAAAAATTTTTTTTCCCGAAACTAGGATTTTATATATAATCAACATTTTTATATATTTTTCTGGTATATAATTTTTTTTTTCATTGTCCGATCAAAATCTGGAGAAAAATATTAGAAATTAAGAAAAAAGTATCGAAATAATACAAAATAAAAGTAGCATTTCAAGATTAAAATTCGACAGATTTTAATCGAAGGTTCAGTTAGAAAAGTTACAATAGTTATATTTATAGTTAAAGATAGTTATTAATGAAGTTGGTAAAAGGCAGAATAGCCTCTTTTACGAGATTAGTTTCGCCAACAATAAGTCATCCGGCTAAAGACATTAAACGCCGCGGCGATACGGATTTAGACCGAATGTTAACGTCCTTCCGTCAGCACGGGGCAGCTGATGCTGAGCTTATTTGGCTTGATACACCATTGCGGGGTTGCATGATCAGATTGTTTATCAGAACCCTTCGGAAATTTTGCAATTACATGATTACCGCAATTATCTGCGATTCCGCGTGTGTGTCGCGACGTCAGATGAATTTAAATTATATATTTCACTCCGCCGAATGATTATAAAGTCCAAAATTCACGAGCTTTTGACACTTTACTGGTATCATATTACCTCACCGTTTTTCGCGCGACTAGTCTCCTTCATTTTCACTCCGAATACAAAATTATTCGGCGATAAGCCAATCTCTCTCTCGTGACAGTTCGTACAAAATATTTAAAAAATGTACATCTAATGTATATTAATATTTAATTAATGTACAATATCTAATATTTTATAATCTAATTAATATTTATTAATTGATACATCGCGTTAATTTCATTATCAACCAAATATGAGAAAAATTACGCCTTGGAGTGTATTTTCGGTACCCTCGAGGAGAATTGTATGGTTCGAGCTATATTTGTAGCACATAGAGTTATCTCTCTCTCTCTCTCCCTCTCTTAAACGTTATTTCGTTGCAAAGAGAGAGCTTGATTCATGCGAGAACGCGCGTCTCCAAACATTTTGAAATTCCTCTCTCTTGGTCGATATGATACGACGATCGCAAACAGCTGGAAACGACGGTCGGTCGCCCATTTTTCTGGCCTTCCGTTCTGAAGAGTAACTTTTCGTTCTCTCCTTCCTATTTTTATCATTTCGATACACATGCGTATTCGTAGAATCGATCATCGTCTGCACGCGAGATATTCCCTCGTCTCGGCTGGGAGACCCGCCGTGCGCTTTTCGGGGATAGCTATACATAGACACACTCTCCGCAGCTGCCCCCGATCGGATTAAAGCGTAAATAAACTCGATGTAAAGACTCGGCGAAAGCGAAATGAAAATTTATCCGGGCTCGACGTCAATTGGTGTTATACCCCATCTTCCGAGCGACGAACTGTCGTGATGTCGAAAACGCTTTTACATTGCGATACGATCTTTGTATTTTCCTTTATCAGAAGGAAGGAAACCAAAGATTGATATATATATCAGATCTTTTAAATCGACATAGTTTTCAACAATTAAATGCTACGTAATAATAAATCGCAAATAACAGATTGCGTAAAATATATAGCTTCTATATCAATCTTTGACACATAACATTATATTACGTTTTAAATTCTTGGCGGTTTTACAGATAAGTTTGACTATAGATTTATGTCTATTTGTTCTGCACTTTTGGTCAACACATTTTACAATGTTTGTTTTTCATGGATCTTCTTGAAATATATATGCTATTTTATTATATCAATGACAAGATTAATAGATGACGGCGATTCGATTATCTCGTCTTAAAATGATATTATACGAGTTTGAAAATGTGTTAGTGCGATTTTACTTTAGGGATTATTCTTAACGAGCTGTTAAGAATACGTACCGGCAATTTGTTCCGCCGGCAGTTCGTCAGCCTGTAAACATCGCAACAGATACGATAAAAGATACGAAATATAATTATAATTATTACTGAGTATAAAATATATATTTTAGAAAGATATATCTATAGTGAACATTTTTATCATTCTCATTAATTAAAGTATTATGCACAAGTTGTTAAAGACTTTGAGTAGATTTGATACGTTCAATTAAGAATTGACGCAGTTACTTTTGGAAGAAACATTCGTGCACTGTTAAAACTCATTCAACAGATGTGTTTTTTTTTTTAAACAATTGAGTTTATCTTTACTTCTCAAATTAAAGATTTTAAATATGGAGATATTTTACGCAAAATTATACTCCAACATCTCGAAATTAGTTACATCTATGAAAACTTCAGAAGTCTCCGCACGCATGCAATACGTTATAGATAGAGTAATTGAGATTCTTAGCTAATAAAATAATTATAATTATAATTATGATTTTTGAATTATAATCACATTTAAGTAAATCATGTACTGCGTTTTCTATTTTTAATGATTTTACAATAATTATGCAGTTTATTACAGAATCACTGTTTTACTTATCCGAATGTTTCAATTACCCTCTCTCTATTCGATTTTACCGATAATAATTCATTGATCAAAATGGACTTGTTCGAACCGCCACTTTAAATAAATCCATCGTAACTTTATATGACGATCGTAAAGGAAGATCTCTTTCATTTAACAGTATATTTGAAATAGTAAAATACATATTATTATTTTCGAAGATAATATTAAAGTGGCGATCGAATTGACTCGCCGTCTAAGAAACAATCACGTTTTTCCAGAATTCCATCCATCGCGGTTCCAAAATATCTCTCTCATAATCAGCCGGAAGTGGCCGATCGATTAGGTACTTTACGCGCGTGCCTAGCATACCATTAGATTACTACATTAATTAGACTATTATAAAATCCGAGCTACACGATACATGTTAATCGTTACTGAATCATGATGCATAAAAAATAAAACAAAAAGGATACACAAGCGAAATTTATAGAAACGGATTAGAGAAAGTGAACTAAAGTTAAATACCCAGGCGGTAACGTGCAAGATATAATTTTTTTTTTTTAAATAATAGTCAGAAAGAGAGATAAAGAGAGAAAGAAAGAGACGGTTAAAAAAATACAACAAATAACTAGAGTACAGATAGACAGTAGGAAAACGTGTATGTTTACCAGGGCGACGACTTACAATATCATCGATAGAACATACCATGATGGTGGCGCGATATGGACTTTTTTTATTCTACTTAAAACACCAAGATATTACTGTGCAGTCTCGCAATTGCCTGACACGTCCGAGTTAGAGCAAATGAAAACGAGCAATTCCAAAGGAAGAATAGAGAATCTCTTTTGCGGGCCACCGATTAAACGCACTGCCGCGAGACGACGCGATGCCGCGGTAATATTCGAATAGGACTATATAGCGGTTGCGTACCGGTCGCAGTCCGCACCCCGCAAGCTCCAGCCAATCGTCGGTCCATGTCTGTTCGGTGGTCCACAAAGCCTTCGGGAAGGCGCTTGCGCTATTTCTGGGATGCCGTACGACGTACGTACAGTCGCGGTGTTCTCTCGCAGATCGCGGATACTGGGGCTGGGCTTCTCCTCATCTCGAATTCATCCGCGGGATCCAATAACGATGGCGAAGGATCATTATTCCAATTAAATTACTTTTATCCCTGCGATCATATGCGATCACTCTCTTTTTCTCTCTCTCGACGCAAACTGAAAAAAAAGTTATGAGAAATATAATTTTTAGATTACATTCCCTGAAAGATAATTCAAATCACTCTCTTTTTCTCTCTCTCTCTCTTTCGACGCGAACTGAAAAAAAAGTTATGAGAAATATAATTTTTAGATTACATTCCCTGAAAGATAATTCAAAATTTACAAGGAGAAAGTAGCTCGAAGTTTCGAGCTTAGAAAAACATTTATTATTAAAAAATAAATCTAACAAAATGTTTTGCATTCTTATAATTTTTTAAGTTTAAATATATCCTACTTTAACGGAAAGTAGGAAATATTAGGGAAAGTGTCACACTGTGCGATTAATACGATTAGATTTAATTAAGTATACATATCTGTTCATTCGTATTATTTTGTATCCTAAGCCAAGATAGATTAATCAAAGAACTTTGATGCAAAACTCAACGATTCGCGAAGATTTAAAATTTATAAACATTTCTTTTTGAGAAATTATTCACACAAAACTAATAATTATTACGAGTATAATTAATTGTACAAAATTAGTGATAACTAATGCAAAAATTTGTTGAAGACATGATTACAATTTAAATAACGACTTGTAAAATTATTTGCGTAAGAAGTGTGACTTGTATAATAAAACAGAGAAGCAGACAATAATTCATAATAAAATAAATTATTGTTATAGATTTTTGCAAGTATGTAATATGAAAACGTGGTATTCTAACGAGTTTTTATTAGATCGCTTATATTGTATGATTACAACCGTTCTCTCCTGCGAGAGAACGTAGCGATGTACTGCAGTGGTACGAAAATAGAGAATGAAAATCCTGCGGTTAGAGTAAGCGACAGTAAAACGTAGGAGCGTATGGTGCACCGGATAAATCGATGTCAGACTCGCCATTTGGAATCGGGACAAAAACCTTCACAACAATAGAAGCGAAAGCGACGGATAATTCAATCAAAAAATAATCACTCTGTGTTTAATCTCTTTCTTGCAAAAACAAAAACTGTGACTTCCCTGTAATCAGAGGATACATTATATAAGGTATAACATTATACATTGTAATTTTTTAAATTAGAATATTACCTTTCTTTCGAAAGAACGTTATTTCATTTTACAATAATAATTCTGCGTTCTTGTGATATTACACATTATTGCAAAAGTATACAATATATACACAAAGTTCTCCGGCATAGAATTTTAGTCAACGAATATTCGTCAACAGTACAGCTGTCGTATTACGCCATAATCATATATAATATTGCAATAAAATTCATCATACCCGATACTTTTGGATTTACATTCGGTCGAATATTTGACGATTTGTTTTAAAGTGAAAATGAACAAGAAAATTGATTTCAGTCCGGAAGTACGTTCCACATTTTATATAACACATTCTTTTACATCTCATATCTAATATCGATAAAATCTCTATTGTTTAGTTGTATTCTTATGATGCATATTTACAAATGCGGGTTAATGCAAATATGTTTAAAATTAATTAACACATCTCACAATCAATGTCAAAAAGGAAAGACCTCTATATTGACCTCCTATAATTCACAATTTCTCTCGACTTCCGTCTGAAGAAATATCTCCATTAAATTAGATATTGGTAAACGCGTATCTCGTAACGTTCATTCTATATTCCTTTTTAATCAGTTAAAATTAACCGGTTAATTAATATTGCAAGACATTAAAACTGAAGCATTATATTTTTTAGATATCGTTGGTATTTGTATTAATATTCGAGAAATTATATTTAATATCGCGTACAATGAAAAAAAACGTCAAATGCAGTAAGATACACATCTCATATCTCGTATTTTCGCGAACATGTGCCAGGTAGATTTCCGGACATTTTGACAGGATCGAAATGAGCGATGAGACATAAAAGAGCGCATGGACACTTGCCAGCAGAGAATCTCTGCGCGGACAGTGCTCTACATGAAAACAATAAACAACCGTTATATACATATATATAAATTTTTTATATTTCTATGTTTGTATATTTCGTTGCTTAAACGCTTATCATCCATTGCTGATGCTTAATTAATTTTACGCACAAAACATCGCCAAAGTCCGCTATATGGTAATCAATTTAGAGTTATGCATTTTGACCATATCATTTTGCGATAGCCTTTTCTTTCGCCGATTTGAGCTCTTAAATATTTCCTCAGCAAAAATGTTCACAGTTTGCATATCTTTGTAATCAAGCCTCGAGAGTTAAAAATCTATTAAAGTTAGCTTAAAATTAATTGAAGAATATAATTCTTTCACTTTTTTATCATTTCAATTTTTTGAGGATGTGTTACAAATAGCTACTACTAGAAATTATAATCTACTATATGTATAGGATATACACAGCTTAACATTCGCTTGTTCGCCAACCAATCGAATGTAAATACTTCGCGGGTATTATTCGTTCTTCGAAACAAAAACAAAATTTGTTTATCTGCTTTGAAAACAATCTAATTTAGTGCATTTTGATATATTTAGCCGCTAAGATTTCATCAGAATGTGCGCTCACAAATATATGCGACGTAGACAGAACAGAACCGTTTTATTTGCGAAGTTACATGTCTTATTTTTCACATTTATTATTTAATATAGTCGTTTAATTTTGAGTTTTATTTGATAAATATATTTTTTGTGCAAGCATTAGTTAAGTTTGATTGAAAAACACATTAAAATTGGTAAATATCGTAGTTACATGATTGATCGGGTAATTATTTGCATTGGATGTTTCCTATTTGAAAGCCACAGAAGTATAATTACATCTAACATTAAATTTATATAAATATTAGTGAGTGATCTATAAATCGGCAATTTGGAAAACCATTTAATGTGGACTCAATTTTATTATAAACAAGCGAACACTCGGTCTTGGATGGCATTCGTATGCGATTGAGATATTTACGCTCTCGACAAGTTGGATCATTTCAGATCGCTTTATTAGTTTTTGAATTTGGCATCGATAAATCAACCTCTTGGCACACTTACCGTTTTTCGCATCACATGTGTTCTTCTCGTCATTGTGGAAATCTCTGATTCGAGTAATATACTTCCAGTCACGTGCGGTTTTTATTTATGATGCGGACAATAAATCGTATCTCCTCATCCAAATATCGATCAACTCTATTATCTTTGAAGCTTACAAATCGTCTTACGTTATATTATGCATTAATAAAACCATATTCCAATATCTTGAATGTCCTGGGAAATAAGAAAATAAAAGTATAAAATATAATCGAAATTGTCAAGAGCAGATTTTGCAATTTTGCTACGAAATTTTATCAGTGAAATTGATCTGTCATACTCAATGATGTTGGCAGGATTCAAGCAAAAATCGAAATAGAAATTTAAGTTTTGTAATAATATTATTTACTTTTGTTTATACTAGGTTATAAAAAGAGAGTAAAGTAAATAGGACTGCTTGTTAAATTCCACTTAATCCACGCTGTCAATGTATTGTATAGCAAAAAAATTTACTTATATATAAGATACAATTTCAAATTTAATTTGTTCAACATTTTTTACTGGAAAAAATATAGGGCAAGCTTCGATTTAAATATGAAAAATACACACACCTACATGATAATACATGAAGTAAGCATCGAATAAAATCTATCGATTAGTCGAATAATCGATACCTTTTATCGCTCCAGCTGATATCGATTTAGATGACATTTTATTTACATGTACTTATACTGATATTATTTTCTATGACGAAAAGAGGCTCTCTCTTTACTAGAATATATTTTATATTCGACTCATAAACGCGTGAGAATATCGTTGAATATATATTCGTCAAATTATTCGTTTAACACGATAACGAAAGATGCCCGGAACTCCGATGGAGCAGGACAATAACGTGTTAAGGAAATTGCAAAATGAACGATCGCCGGACGAACCGAAGAACGAATCTGTTGTGCGTGAAATAACGCAGACTGATAGACTGAACAAGAAGCTGCTCGTATCGGTTTTGGAGCGTATGAAAAAATCAGACGGGCAGTTCGATAAGTTTATGGAGGACGAGAGAGGAAATTGCGAATCGCACGACGATAGTGACTTTTAAGACGACCGGTACACAAGGTAAGCTTAACCTATATGTCGACGCTTGTGTATATCGAAGAATTTTGAAATCCATCGTTTTTAGATATTTAATAGAAAATTTTATATATAAAACATTTCCCCTTTATATCGAAAAAAGGAGGACGCTTTTTGCATCCATTTCGTTGAGATAAAAGAGAAAATTGTCAGACTTCGTTCAAAGATAGATTAGAGTTAATTATTTATAAAATGTGTTCTCTATTATAAGTTTAGAATTTCTGATAATTTTGACACATAATAATGGGGTCATAATTACTTGTACTTAATGATTATATATTTTTTTAGGGATCTGCATAAGTGGTTAAATTTAATCGAAAGATACTTTATACTATCATGGCAGATATTCCTGATTATAGAGGTGATGATGATATCGTGGAGTATTATGAAAATAAAGAGTCTGATGATGAGCAGCATGGTAGCCTTGAAGTAGCAGGAGAAGCAACTTCCGATAATGAAGCAGAAACTGCGCGAAGAATTGATCCATCAAAATCTAAAACACATACAGTTAGAAACCCTATACCCAAACTGAACACAGAGCGATTGAAAGGTTCCAATGGTATTCACACCATCGAAAAATATTTTGAGGGTTTCAAGTTTTATGGCAAAGGACATGAGAAAACTGATCTCAACAGGATTATGAAAAGATTGGAACATTGGTCCTATCGATTATTCCCAAAGTATCATTTTGATGATTTTCTTACAAGAGCTGAGCAACTTGGGACAAAGAAGGATCTACAGGTCTTTATGAAAAGATATCGATTGGATATGCTCACTTCAGATGATGATTTAATTATCCATGATGACACGGATAACGAAGAGGACCAACAAGAGATTGCACCTCTGGACGACTTCGATTTATTGATAACGGAACAAATACAAAAACAAAAGCAAGCTGAAACTTCTATGCCTACTGCGGTTCCGAGCACTTCTAATGAGGATGCTTTTGATGAACTTTTGATGCAATCCAATAATATATCAAATTCACAAATACAATGCACAAGCACTGCCAAGAATGAAATGAGCGACGAGATAAAAGAAATAATCGAAAGAAATAAACAGCTGGCTATTCAAAGAAGACTCCAGAGACAGAAAGAACGCGAAGCAGGAGAATCTAAGAGAGCAAAATTAATCGAAAGCACAAATATAGAAACTCTAAATGAAAACAATAATCCTACAATTTATGATGGGACTGATGCGTCTCAGGTTGATAGTATGCATTCACAAATCAATGAAAATGCAAATGAAGCAACTGCTAGTAAGTCAGAGGAAATATTATCGAATGAGGAGCCAATAAACGACCATGTTTAAGTAAAGTACAATATGTAGTAATATAAAATTTTTGTTACATCATATATACATATAAGACTAAAATATCATTTAGAAGTATTTATTATATAACAAAAATTATTGTTTTACCTGCAATTATTGTAGAAATAAGTCAAAATGTAGCTGTTAGAATTGTTTATGAATAGATAAATTTCAAATAAATAAAAATTTATATTTGCTTATGTCATATAATTAATTTCTACGCTTTTGTGTGCTAATATATAACACATTGTTCCCTCGTATAAATGCATCTCCATATTTGTCTTTCAATTGCCCATTGACATATTCCTCTGTCTGTTCAAGCGCTATGTTCATATAACCATCTATACAAGCTAACACACCTGTAAATAGAATACTTGTTTTAGGATATACAGAGCTTCAAAAGAAAATTTCAAGATTTATAGAACATAACATACTAATTAAATTGAAAAAGAAATATTTTTATTCTGATAGTAAAGATAATAATTAGATAAATATTAATACTGCGCTAAAATATAAAAAAAGTATTTACCTCTGTAATCAACACCGCTGTTCAATTTTACGACAACAGGCCGTCCATGGATTTGTTGTATAAATTGAGATAATGCTTCCTTCCGGCTCATCTATTAATACGTACAAATATTATTTAATGTAGAGAAATTATATACCTAAGAAGTAGCGTTCAAATCTACAAATCATGTTTTATACACATCATGACATTTATCGTAAATTTCAATGGTAGCGAATAAGAAAGAGACGAGCATAATTATCACCGATATTTTACGTACCTTTGTAAATAATGCGGATATATAATCAACTCTATACACGTAGATATTTTGATTCAAAACAGTTTTAACCTAATCTAAAAACTGATTTCTCATCAAATCAACATACGTGATACCGACCGGTCGCGTCAAACTTTTCCTAACGTTAAGCCTGTATCAGACTAAGTATTGAAAAAAAGGAACTAAAATTTCCTTGTCCTGATTGGTCAAATTTCAATCTCAATGCATAGTCTGATATAGGCTTTACGTTGATTGGTCATTATATGTCTATGTATAAACCAATAGAATGCCTGAAATGCTTCGTTATTTTCATCAGAGAGAAGCCTGAAGTCCGTATCAGATTATGCATTGAGATTGAAATTTGACCAATCAGGACAAGGAAATTTTAGTTCCTTTTACCCTGATTGGTCAAATTTTAATCTTCAATACGTATTCTGATACGGGCTTTAAAGCCCGTATCAGACTACGCATTGAAGATTGAGATTGAGGATTGAAGATTGAAATTTGACCAATCAGGATAAAAGGAACTAAAATTTCCTTGTCCTGATTGGTCAAATTTCAATCTCAATGCATAGTCTGATATAGGCTTTACGTTGATTGGTCATTATATGTCTATGTATAAACCAATAGAATGCCTGAAATGCTTCGTTATTTTCATCAGAGAGAAGCCTGAAGTCCGTATCAGATTATGCATTGAGATTGAAATTTGACCAATCAGGACAAAGAAATTTTAGTCTCTTTTGTCCTGATTAGTCAAATTTCAATCTTTAATCTTCAATCTTCAATTTTCAATGCGTAGTCTGATACGGGCATAAGAGGGGTCACGCCGCCGATTTTCATAAGACACTTTTTCTGCTGGTATAGTAGCGTCAACTAGATCCATTTTAGAGTCAGCGGAACTACATGGCCACATTCACTTTTCGATACTTCTGGTAAAACAACCGGATGGTGCATATGTGTGCTAAATCCATAATTGTGGATCAAAATTGCGGAGAAATATTATGGATTTATTAATGTTTTATTAGCTATGCGTGATGTTTTGCCATTCTAGTATATATTACAGACAGCGATAATTAGTTATTATAGAAGTATTTTCATGTATATATGCGCATATGTGTGTGTGTGTGTGTGTGATATATATAAAATAAATTTTCTTAAATTAATTTTCTTGATAACTTTTTTCCTAATTTTTAAATATATAACGTGTAGAAGATATTTACACTAAATTGCTTTTACTTTTTTCTTATTCTTGAAACAAAATTATCAAGCATTTTAAGCAATATCAAATTATACGTGTAGAAGATATTTACAATAAATTGCTTTTTTCTTATTCTCGAAACAAACTTATCAAGCATTTTAAGCAAAATTATTATGCTTTTAATTCATATTAGCTTTTTATAATTAAGTATTAATTATATTATTTAAGTAATTTTTAAATTCATAAAAATTTATAAATCCAGTTTGATGCACTAGTGCGCATTGATGCACATTAAAAGCTATTATATGTAAATTTATATATAAGCATAATTTATATATAAACATAAGTAAAACGATAAAATAATTAATAATATGAAAGTCTTTTAAAAATAAATATAACAATAGATACGCTTTGCTTAACACTATATTTTTGCTCGAAGAATAAGATTCTTCGCCCTCATTTGTCCATCAAACGCTCCGAAATAGAAATTGTCTAACGAAGTGCATTTATTGAATATATAAAAACTTCTATAAAATTTTTATATTTCTTATATTTTTAAACGAAATTTTGATTGATTCATAAGATTTTTGTAAATGAAATGACATAAAAAAACGCGATATTATGCGGCTAAATATCAATTAGATATAAATTTAAAAATTAGATAAAATATTTTTTTCCTTATCTAAGTAAAAATTATCCGAATTATATCGTGTTTTTGATATCATTTTAATTAAAAATGTCATTAATCCATTAAAATTATTCTCAAACCGATAAAGTGCAAGTAAGAATCTTTTTCAACGTAAGAATCAAAGTGACATAAATCTAAATTATAAAATATCGTTTTGTTGCGATCTTTACGGACAATAATTATTTCTTTAACAACACATAGAATCAAATATATTTTGTCACGATGCTATATCATTTGACTTTTCGACGATCTAGATATAATTTGGATTAAGAACGTACCATTAAAGTTATCTTCAAAAAAATTACTTTCTAAAATAAAACAAATATTTTAATTTTTATTACATATGATTTTTGAATATTATAAATAAATTATTATAGATAGATAAAGGTCTCCGATGTCATCGAAAGCGAGAGCAAAATCAAGTAAAGAGCAAATAACGTATCGTCAAAGAGTTTCGAAGTCTCTTATATACAAGGGGGGTTTATTCTTTTATTATATAGTATTTCACGAGTATACATATATGTGTCATTATCATAGAAAATAAAACTTTTATATTTTGCATTTTACCTGTTTATGCTTTATCGTACGACTTTTTAATTATTTAAATATAATTTAGATTGAGAACGCGCAATCAAACAATCGAACCGCAGGATCGAGTAATTAACATAACGATAAGCTCTGTGATATATTAATCGTTTATTATATTTGATCTATAATTTAAAATATTTGTATAATTTAATATTCCGCTTGTATACATGTACGTCATAGTACGCAAAATATTTTCGGCTGCGAATTATCAATAACATGGTATTCTGTCTTGACGACATAAACATTAGCGCGCTATTGTTTACGTGTTACGACTTACGGCTATATCATTCACACGACAACACTCGAACAGTAATGTAGTAGTGCGAGACGCTCTGTCAAATTCCTTTTCTAAACGCGATCGCGACAAGCATCGGGAAATAATTTGATAAAATTAATAATTAATTCTCTTTCTTTTTTTTATTCTCTAAGTAACAATTATTTAAAAATACTTAATATTAAATATATTTTGTCCGATGTTTTTTTGTTTGACTTTTTGACGATCTAAATATGATCCAGATTGAGAACGCGCAATAAAATAATCGAGTAATTAATATAACGATAAGTTCCGTGATATATTAATTGTTTATTAAATAATAGATCTATAATTTAAAATATTTGTATAATTTAATATTCCGCTTGTATACGTCATAGTACGCAAAATATTTTCGGCTGCGAAATCAATAACATGGTATTCGGCCTTGGCGGCGTAAACATTAGCGCGCTATTGTTACGACTTACGGCTTTATCATTCGCACGGTGACACTCGAACAGTAATGTGGTAGTGCGAAACGCTCCGTCAAATTCCTTTTCGAAACGATACGTCGCGTTGTCGCGAATGATGCATGACATCATGGTCGTAATGACCGTAACTTACGACCGTAAACGAGTGTAAAATTACGCTCATGCGCTGGCAATAATAATTAGCCGGCTATGGAAGGAATTTTTCTCCTTCTGAGCTCTGATAGAAGTCAAAACTACATACTGGCTGATGTAGTCAGAATGAATATGGCCAGGATCAAAGAAAGGTAGGTCCAACTGGTCCAACGGAAGCAACATAGTTGACCAATATCGTGGTCAAAGGGCGCAAAAATACACATGTTGAGCAATACATGTGTTTGCGCATTTCTACGTGCAATGGCACATAATCAAGAATGCTACCGGTGCATTCTATAGGGCACGTGAATAGGACACGTGAGTAAAGCACGCGAGTAGGGCACGCAATTAGGGTACGCGATTAGGCTACGCGGTTCCCAAAATCTCGGTGATACCGGATTCTCGCTGGCTTAGCCAGCAAAAATAGGGTTGTTAAGATTATATATTAGGACTATCTTAACTTAAGATAGTCATTTAATTCCATAAGTATTTAATTGCTTAAAATTCTGAAGAAAACTAAAAAGTAGGATTCTTTTTAAGAAAACTGAAAAATAAAAATTAATTATAAAAAATTTGTAGAAAAATTAATAAATTTAATTTTTCTGCAATTTAAATTAAAAATTGACTAGTAGAAAAATTAAAACTTATTATAAAAAATTTCAAAAATAACACATGCTACACCTTTTTTTATACATAAAAAAGTGCGTATGTTCCTCCATTATTATTAATATTAATATATTATTGTTTTAATGTGCTAAAAAGATTTAATAGAGTAGATTGAACATATGGATATAGCTAATGTATATAGATAAATTTATATTTTTTAAGCAATCTTAAATTGCAATCAATTTGCCTGTTTCTATTGACTTTAATATTGTATTACAAAATACATATTATGTATAAATGTAACGTAAAATGTGCGTTTAAAACTTCGAGACAAGTCAAATGGGTACCTCGATATCAGTGAAATATCAACAAATTAATATATTTAAATGCTACAGAAAAAGATTAATTATAGCTTAGAATTATTATAATTCTATAATTATTATAATGCTTGATATTATTTTGATTTATTTTATGTGTTTTAAATTTTTTTTTTAATTTCGCTGTTATCGGGTTCGATTCGTCTCGAGCAGTTGGTACCCGAGATTATTTGTACTCGCACATTTAACACTAGCTACAATAACGCAGTGTATGTATTTTATTATCCATAAATATAGTCATTTGTAACCACATTTTCATAAAAATTGTTATATCCATTTAATTTTTAATAAAGAGATATATTTCTTAATAATGAAAGAACACATTTTCTCGCGCGAATTTCAAGCTTGTGAATTAAAGATAATGACAATGGCAACTGTCATTGATTCGTTACCGAAATCATTGCTATCGGGAGCAGTCTGGAAGATCCGGGATTCGTTCCCTCCTGCAGCGAGGTTCCTGATATTCAATGGATCACTTAACTTTTCTTTGTGAATAGATCTTACGGGGTCCGATGTAGAAGCAAGAAGTTGATCGTTCTCCACCTTTAAGATTGTTCTTGTCTTTGTCGGATATTAACCGGCGTGTTATCTGGCGGAGGGATCTTGATCTGGTCAAATTGTTGGGTCAGTTATCCTCCATTAAACGCGGCAATAACGCAATGTTTTTATAACGGTATCTTAAGATTTATAAGATTTTATTCTGTTTAACCAATCCGCCGCGAAACAGTACATATATTCTTATTCTCAATTGCGAAATTTAATTTAATTTAATTTAATTTAATAAAATCACGCATTTGAAAATAAATCGGGCGTTAGATTTTATATTCAAATTATATACTGATGTCCTATATTACAGACGCGATTATAAAAAGCCAAAATGTCCGTCGAAACATTTTTGTTTAAGTATGTAATTATTGTATTGTTTCTTCGATTGCATGTGTATTGGAATCGCGAATATTACGGCTATTGTCGATTTATTTATTCGTCGCATTTTTTTTGCAAATTTTAAATCGCGGTTTATCTTGTGATTTAATCGTTGATTTACATCGAAGCTTC